TTAGATATGAGATGAGATCTTTTAACTTAAATTATTGACACAAATTTTCAACTACTAATCCATTATAATAACCAATGGTTTAAAAGTTGATGACACAAATTTTAAGATGATAATCCATCAAAACACTATATTTGAATTATTATCATTTATCAACTGTTACTTAAATAAATTATAACTACGCTATGACAACTCCAGTTTGTGAAATTATTTGTTTTGGGGTATATTCATTGGGTTTAAACATTTAAATAAATAAATTCACTGGCTATTTGAGTAGCTAGAAAGCATATAAACACTAACACGTTCTAAAGTCTTATCATTAAATCAATATGATTTTTGGAAAAGAAGAAAAGATTCTCTAGAAAACGAGAGACGTCGACTTTAATTAATTAATAATTCAAATCCTCTCAGATGCATTGCATGCACACGAAATCAATCAAACAATGCACACACTTAATTTTCAAAATGGTCCAAACAAGCTGCATTATTGAATGAGGCGCTGTGCCCACTTTCCTTTGAATTGAAATTTAATTAATCTTGTATGAAGTTGCTGCAGATTTTGTGTTTAAGAAGCAGTGCAGCTTCTAGTCAATTTGAACTTTGATGAGCATTCTAATCAGTCAAGTGTTGTGTAGAAGAAATGGCGGATTAATTAAGAGATCTTTTCAAGAGTGATAGTAAAACCATTCTTCAACCTTTTAGCTTTTCTTGTTTGGTTTACTCTTAATTATCACGTACTATAAATAATATAATAATCTTTAATATTAGATTATAAAATTCAATTAATTTAAAATACATAAACTTTAAGAAATATAGTTAAGATTGATACGCAACAAATGTAGATAAGTTTAAAGTTAAATGAAGATAAAGATTTGTCTTGTCCACATTCATTTTCATTTCATGCCAACAGCCAACAGATGCGTGCTCCAGTCATTTCATCATCATGCAACTTCAAGACTTAATAATAATCCACAAACTCCTTATCTCTATCGATCATGTTTACGTTTAATTATTCAAGCTCGATCGATTTCTCCTGTATGCTTGTACAGATCTATCTTATTAATTGAGTATTTATCATTTCACATCCAAGTGTTATGTCAACAGCCCCACCGAGCACTTGAATAAAAATATAATTAATCAAATTAATAAGACAGCCACAGTTCTGGCAAACGCAAAACCCTATTTTGAATTATTATATATATAGAAATAAAACTTAAATAAATAACCCAAGTTCACGATAATATTATCTTAATTTGCATTCATATGATCAAAATTGACAAAATTTTGAATGGTAGTTGAAAAGGCAAATAAATAAAATAAGAAGCCATTGATAAGTGATACATGAAGACGAATTCTATGTCTCTATCCAACACAAATATGTTTATTTGTTACGTGTAAAACTTATCTTATAAAAGCAACTCTAACTTTGGATATAATTTTTTATTAAAACAACTTGAATGGAATAAATTGTGCTCTAAGCACCAACTTTAATATTGCATATGTCAAAAGCATGACACTTGTGTTATAAATGTATCTATTTCGGCTATCAAATAATCAAAACTTAGAATAAGAATAACTTTGTTGTAGCTAGAAAGCATATAAACAGTAACGCCTACGCTAAATTTTGCCGTTCTTTTTGAATTTAGAATTTTTGGAAAAGAAGAAAAGATTCTCAAGAAAACGAGACTTTAATAATTCTCATTAAAAGCCAAGCACATGAAAATGAAATCAATGAAACATGCACACTAATTTTTCTAAAGAGTAAACGACTTTTTCCCACCCAAGGTTTGCCGTAATGACACTTTCCCACCCAAGAAGTTTCAAACTACCACTTTCTCATCCAAAGTTTATATTTTGTTTACTACCCATAATAGATTTTCTGATTCAGCAGTTAACGGAGAGCAAACTTGGTCCAAGCTATTGGGGTTTCTAAAGAGGGGATGCCGGTGAATCTTTTGATGGTGGTAAGTTAGATTTTGCTAGTTGATATTGGTTGGAATTTGACTTAGGAGGGGTGGTTGTGTGTTTCACAGATCGCTCGATTGTCGACGATTGACAGGAGAGGCGAGAGTAAGATTTGAGTAATTTTGATGAATGATGATTATGAAAGAGAATAGTGACAGTTTAGGGTTATAAAGATGTTAGAATCGACTGACGATTGATCATAATATAAACTTTGGGTGAAAAAGTCTCATTAAGGCAAACCTTGGTAGGGAAAAAGTCGTTTACTTCTTTTCCAAATGGTCCAAACTAGTTGTATCATTAAATGAGACTGTGCCCACTTTCCTTTGTATTGGTTATGTGTCGTTCAACTGTCACTTTCTTCTCATACTTACATTTACATTTAATGATCTTTATTATTTTTAATTCATTATTACACCCTTTGTAACATTTTCTCAAATATATTATTTCTTCTTTTTATATCACTAAGTCTAATTGTTTATCCAGCAATAATTAGAACAATGGTGGGTGACCAACTTATGTTTCTTCTTCTTAAAAACGTAGTCGTGAGTTGCCGGGAGCTAATCCCAACTCCTTCCATTTTTCAAAAATGAAATGTTTTTACTCTTTAACTCATTTTCAATAGTTTATCAACCATGTTTTCATTTTCGTAAAAGTATTCCAGAAATTCAAAATCAAGCAAAGTTTTGTATCTTAATTCTTAAGGATAATAAAACCTCGTTTTGTTGTTTATAGTGCATTTTTAACAACGGTTGTTTTGAAAAGTGGCCATGTTTTCCTTGTTTTACTTTACTCATTTTCAACAACTTCGTAATTGGTTCCTAAAAATACTAAATCCAATTTTTCATTTTCGTTATACTAATTCTTCTTCGTAAAGAAATTTAAAAACGACATCGCTTTAATTAAACCGGAACTCTTTCATTTTTATGAAAATCATTATTATTTAGACATGAATTATGATAAATTTATTTGAAAGTTAAATGGATGAGGGCTTATTACAGTAACAACCCTCACTTGAGCAAAAATCAGACGATAAATTTATTACAAATATTCTCATTAAGAAGGAATCTGTCTATTCTTTAATCTAGTTATATTTTATAATGAATTAATTAAGAGATATCATTTATTTAATCAAAAATAATTAAATACCTCTAAATTTTTTCAACACATGCACCTCAACCTTAAATGAGTCACATGGAAATGTAGATGGGTTTAATTGTCATTTTATAAAAATTAATAATAATAATAATTGGATTCGTTCTAGGACCTACTCGGATCCAACCAATTTGGTTGGGCTCCACTATTCTATCCGGATCCGATTCTCCCAGCACTTTAATTTGCCAGGGACTGATTTGTGATAGGTTCGTGTAGTAAACGCGCTTAAAGCAAGAATTCGCAGAATCCAGAACTTTATTGGGTGACAGCTTTCAAGTTACAGCTCAGCCAACAAGGGTGGTCAATTCATTACCAGAAAACATTGATGTGCATTGGTGCTCACTAGTCTTAGTGGGCGCCACATGGTGTGATCATCGTCAATCACGTGGAGGTTGGTGACATGTTGGTGCACCGCCTGTTACTAGATCCACCTTAGTCAAATTAGAATTTACTGATATGAAGTATTCTATTAGGTAATATTATTAATTCCACTCACTCATATTTTTCAATGTGCTCATTATCAAAGTTTTTTAAAAGATATATCCTCATAATTTCAACCAAAAAAAAAAAAGCGCTCTCGAAATCAGTATGGAAACTTTTAATTTAAATATATATTCGATTTAATTATTAGATTATTAAGATTATGTTATAAAATATATTTTGTCTAAATCTATAAAAAAAATTTACTATAATCAAAATATATTCAATTCCCGTGGTTTTGACATTCCCATACAGGAAGCCTTTACAAGACAGTTGCATTTAAAAGGTCATGAGATATCCCTTTCAAATTGTTTTCAAGTTTTTATTGGCTTTTATTTTTTTAGTAGTTTAGAAACATTTAGAATGAATAGATGTCTTAATTTCCCAAAGATAGTAGCACTTTCTAAAAGTATAAACTTTAATTTCTTTAATCTAAATAAAAGTTTGAAACCTAACTTCTTTTTTTGGGCATGGTTAGAAAATATATATATTATATAAAAAACAAAAAAAAAAAAATAGTGATAATTGATAGAGGACCCATATGTAATTAGAGTAGTTGTTAAACATTTTTTATTATATTGAATAAGGATTAGATTAGAGAGTGATACATGACTGCGGGTCAAAGAAATTTAACCAAAATCAATTCCTCCAAAATTTTTAATTGCCATTGTTTGTCTTTGTCAACCTAGAATGTATATAATAATCTAATTCAAATCTGTCTGTTAAATTCCATATTTTAAGTACCGTAGTTGATACTTATGAACATCATATGGGTAGATAATTAATAAAAACTTTATTTATAAATATGATCTTATTCCATTTATGTGCCATCCTATAATAGCTATTCATATATTCTATTATAGATATGAATGAAACAAGTTAAGCACATTTTCCCAAATATTATTGTATTTGTATGATTTTTTACTAACTCTATATATACATGTAACCCTTTTCAACTTCCAAAACCAACAACTCTTTTTCACTTTCATATATTTACTTGAAGAAATGGCAGCAACATGATTTATTCCACTTACATATTATATAACACAATCCGACCCGAAGCCGCTTCCACCTCCCTTGTTCCGATACTAACAGAAACCTGGAAGGCTCATGATAACTGCAGTGGGAACGCACACACGATAATAAATAAAATACACACATTCTTCTCTCTCATCCGAACCGCTCATTTATTGTGGAACGCGTAAACCGATAAGATTCTTCCGTTTGCATGCTTTTAGTAAAGATTAGGGTCGGGTTGACCCAAAAACCCGACACAAGTCCAAATACAAAATTATTGTTTTTGTATTTATTTGTTTCTAAAAAAATAATTGTTTTTTAGACGAACCAGTGTCGGCTCTTGGGTTCTCTGCTATTGAACTCAAACAAAAGTCCTTATAAATATGAATATAAAATTAAAAACCACTTCCTCCTTAGAAGAGAAGCCCTCCCCATTGCTTCCTCTTCGTAGTTTCACTCTCTCAACAAGTTTAAATCACTCGTTCTTTATATTTTCAAGCTTTGAATCCAATGTACTGAACTGGGTTCGTTCCACATTCTTTCTTTAACGGTTCCCTTATTGAGATTGATAGAAAAATTTGGAAGTTGATATCTTCCCATTAGCGTTTTTAAGGTAATAAAGCTATGAATATTCTTATCTTCGTGTTGTAATTGTAATGAGTTATGTAGATAAGTAATAACTTTACGTTATTCTTAATGCCAGATGGCTTTTGAATGGTAAAGTTTTGATTTTTCTTTTGTGAGGTATGAGCGTCCAACTTGAGTTGTGATCATACACAAGCTAGAGATATATGGTCTTCAATGTGTATAATTTGTACAAGTTCTTATTTTTGGAATTTACGTTGAAGGGAAGTTAAATAGTTTACTTTTGAGCTGTAAACAATATGCCAAAGATGGGATTTTGTTTGTTGAGTTGAGACTAGATTGTTTTATTATTTATGGTTTTAATATAAACCGGTTTTTGTTTACTTTTGGGAAGCTTTATTCAGATCTATAATAACTGCTTTTACAACACAATTGATTAATTAAATTTTGAAGTATGTGTATGACTATTGATTTGTATGCCAGCGAGTTCCTTTCATTTTTGGTAATTCTCTGTTATTTTTCTGATCTTTTCTTTAGTACTTTTAGTATAAATGTTGCCTTTTGTATTTGATGTAATTACAAAATTCTTGAATATGGACAGGATGGTTGCTTCAAGATTGGGCCAATGGTTAAGTCTTCTAGTTTGTGGACTGATAATCCTGAAAACAGAAGGCTATGATGTGGAAATCACCTATGTTGAGAGTGCCGTAGCAAAAGGAGCTGGTGAGAATGTTAGCAATTTATAATTTTCTTTATTGGATATAATGAATTTGTAAATTTGCTTAAAAGTTTGATATGGTTTGCAGTTTGTTTGGATGGGAGCGCGCCTGCTTACCATTTCAGTCCGGGGTTTGGTGCTGGGGTAAACAATTGGTTGGTGCATATTGAGGTATGTTCTAGTTCTCTATGAGGAAGATTGAGTTTAACAAAATTTTTAACATGCCTAAGAGTAGTAAAGTTTCAATTTGTTTGGTATTTTTGCTTTGAATTTACAGGTAACTTAATGGTTTCAATTCTACTATCTATTTAGAATAAGAATGCTCAATCTTATAAATTTAAAGCCATAGGCCCATATATTAAGCTATTTAGTTCTAGAGAACTTCAGTATCTTTGGTTTGGTCATCTTTAACAAGTTTTACATATGAAAGATAATGGAGTTTCGAAGTTTTTGTGTATATATCTTTTTCCGTTAGCTCATCTGCAATTGTTTCTGTTTTGGGGTCTTAGGGAGGTGGTTGGTGCAACAATGCCACAACTTGTCTTTCCCGTAAAAGTACCCGTTTAGGTTCATCTAAGCAAATGGTCAAGAAAGTTGCCTTTTCGGGAATGCTGAGCAACAAGAAGCAGTTTAACCCAGGTATGGCTTTTTGTTTTATTGATTGACATCTTGTTTAATTTTGTCTTCTGTTTTCTGGAACTTTAAATTTTTTTTGTATACGTAATCAATTTATCTTTCTTTCACTAGACTTTTACGACTGGAATAAAATCAAGGTTAGATATTGTGATGGTGCATCATTTACTGGCGATGTGGAAGCTGTAAATCCTGTAAGTTTATTTTCAGCAACATCAAATGCTAGATTCTTTTTAGTCTTTGTGGGATTATTTATTAATTAGTGATTTCATCAGGCAACTAAGCTTCACTACAGAGGAGCCAGGGTTTTTCTTGCCATCGTGGAGGATCTAATGGCTAAAGGAATGAAAAATGCTAAAAATGTACAAATTTTCTGTTTATTTTTCGTTTTAAAATATGTTATTGTTAGTTTTTGAGTTAACTCATTAGAACTTTTGACAGGCTGTTCTGTCAGGCTGTTCAGCGGGGGGATTGACTTCGATTTTGCATTGTGATAAATTCCGAGGTCTCTTTCCCATGAGCACCAAAGTAAAATGCTTTGCGGATGCTGGTTATTTTATCAATGTGTATGCTCATTTTAACCTTCTACCTAACCTTACATTGGTGAAGAGTTGCTTCATTGGTGGTTGTTTTCTGTATTTTAACGCTATAACTTTTTTCAACAGGAAGGATGTTTCTGGAGCAAATCACATTGAAAAGTTTTACAGTGAAGTGGTCGCAACACATGTACTCTCCTCTTTCTCACTTACATGTGCACACAAATGCATTATTGTGATTGATTTTACTTTTCTTTGCACATATTATAGTATGCTCTGCTCATTGTCACTCCATATTTGTTTCCTGGAATGTTCCCCCTCTTCCCTTTAGGTCATGCATTCAAGTGTTTTTCATTTTTCTTGTTTATTACTTGACATAGGTTCCTCTGTGTTGTGGAGCATCTTACCTAGGTTTACCTTCTCTGATTCTTGATTTGAATCTCTTGTGCAGGGATCAGCTAAGAATTTGCCAGCATACTGCACTTCGAAATTGAAACCAGAATTGGTAGGTTTTGCAGTTCGAATGTTTCCACTCTTTTTGTCATCTCCTCTTGGTTCTTACTGGTTCTTCCCAATAAAATGACAGTGTTTCTTCCCACAACACATGGCGCGGGAAATAGCGACACCAATATTTATTGTAAATGCAGCCTATGATTCATGGCAGGTTAGTACATTTTTATGGCTTTCCAGGAAACATAATGAATATGCACATAGTTTCTATCCATTTACAAATTACAAGACTACATATAGCCTTGTTTTATTGTTGTAGTTTTTTGCCTGACAATCTTGGAAACCATTTTCTGACTACCTTGTCTTTAAGGCTCGGACTTGTTTTAAGGAAATCGCTCCGTGTCAAATTAGAAAATTTGACGGTTACATCTGCATGCAAAAATTTGCAGAGTTAGGCTTCAGTTCATCATATATGCATATATTTCAAATATAACACTAGTTTTGTTGAAACTAAGATCATGTAAGATTTTAATTTGAAGGACAGTAGACTTGACACATAAGCTTGGTGGATTCAAGGCACTTGTTGATTCATAACCATGTGCTATAGATTAAAGAAATAAGATTTATGAGCCATTTTCTTACTTAAAATCGAAAAAATGTCAAAAAGGAAGTTCATAGCTACATTCCATTGGGTCTGATCCTTCAAAGTTTTCCCTTGTAAAGGTGATTCGTCTTAAAATTTCTCTGATCCTTCAACATGTGTTATGTATATATAGATAAAGAACATTTTGGCACCTGGTGTTGCTGACCCCCACGGAACTTGGCACAGCTGCAAGCTCGATATAAACAATTGTTCACCTACTCAACTGCAAACAATGCAAGGTAACTTCTTTCTCGATAATTCGCATTGCTACGAACTCTTGTCATACAACTCTCTTCTGATCTCTTACTGGGGTTTATATTCAGATTTCAGGAAGCAATTCTTAATTGCGTTGACTGGCCTTGGCAACTCTTCAACTAAAGGAATGTTTATAGACTCTTGCTATGCTCACTGCCAAACTGAAATGCAGGAGACATGGTTAAGGAAGGACTCTCCGGTGCTGGAAAATATAGTAAGAGTCTGCTTCATCTTCTCTTTATTTGTCATCTTTCCTCCATGATCAACGTGTTCTAAGTTGTTTCTATATTTGTTATGTTATTTCTGTTTTTCTTTCACATTCTGACATATTAGTTCCTTTTCTGTATGAAATGGATTCTGCAGTCGATTGCAAAGGCTGTGGGAGACTGGTTTTATGATCGCAGTCCTTTCCATAAGGTTGATTGCCCTTACCCTTGCAACCCGACTTGCCACAACCGTATTTTCGATCCTAAATCCGTACATCAACTAGAGATAGATATATAAATTTGTGTCAAGGCACACAAAAGTTTATGATTCCAGAAATGATTATTGAAATTGTAAGCTAGAATAAGAAACAGACTGCATGATTGATCAAGTGTATGAAATAAACTACAAAGACAACCAGTACACTCAAATCTGTGTGCTGTGTGTCTTCCCTCATTTTTATGTAATTTATTAATGTTATCTCAATGCAATCCATTGCTTCACCTTCACTTTATTCTCTTTTTGGTGTAATTTCTGATAAATAATAATCAATGTAACACATACCAATTTCGATACAAATTGATGTGTCAATGTAATATAAGAATTGGTCTCCATTATCCAACATCCTATGAACTTTGGAAAAGGACAAGTATCCTCCTAATTAATTTTTAAACCTTCTTTAATGACTTTCTCGTTAAAATCGATGATTGACCGAAAGTATAAAAAAATTTATAATTAATATGAAATATAACAATGATAAATAAATAATATAATGATTCATATTCAAATATGATAATGGTAATGAGAGTTTAAAAATGCAAAACGATATTTAGTTAAAGACATAAATGGACACACCTTTAATTCATACATCCCAAAAAATATTTTTATTTATCGAAACCAATATATTAATGTTAAAAAATTTATGAGCAATTTTATTTACCGTTTAAAAAAAGGTTTTACGGCTAACGGCGTTACGGCAGCCCTCTATACTTTACAAATGGGCTTCAAAGCCCATTTAATTTCAGATTCAAGTGAAACAATTATAGGAGCATCTTCTTCGCTGAATCAAAGTTGACGTTGCTCTCTGTCTCGCCCTGAAACTATCACAAAAAAGATTGTTATTTATAATGGATTGGAGCTTCGTACATAAAACCTGGGAGAAGTGGGCTCCCGTCAGTGTTGGCTCTTCTGGTAATTATGTTATTGCAATCTTTTTGGTTGCATTATTCTTTCATTTAATTTCAGGATTTGATATTGTTGGGGTTTGTAGGGGAGCCATTGAAGGCAGCTTTGCTCATTAACTATGACCCCACTGGACCTTCTCGCTTGTTGTCTACCATGTAAGTTTCATTCACCTCAAATTCTGGGTTTCACCATGCTATATAGTTCCACATCCTTTTTTATTTTGTTACTTTTATTAGTTCTTTCACGTAGAATTTTATCTGTGATGTTCGGCTTAGCCACTGTTCTGATTTTGAAAATTTTGAGGAGAGCAGAGCCTTGTAAACTGTATTATTTTAAACGCGGTTTATGTAGACGTTGTGATTAGAATGAGTTGTTTAACAATTGTTTGTCAAGAATTTGAAGAATATTATATTTCAATTGGGGAGGAAAAAGAAGCCCTTTCTGATTAACCTCTGGAGAATGGAGTGACGATGTTGTTGTTAGTTTAGGTGTTAAGAGTTCTTTGTAGCCATGTTCGTGAGTATTTTTCAAAGAGTATGATCTTATCATGTTTGTGATGTTTTTATGTGGATTTCCAAGAGAGGCTAAGTGCACGGGTTTTGGTTTCTGTGACAATATTATGAACCGCTGAGTATTTAACACCATAGTCGTGGCTTTAGAATTCATCTACAACATGCCTGCTGTTAGGGAGAAACCATTAAGTTAATTAATTATCTGACACAAGAAATGCATAAAGTTAAACCACAACTGCTAGATTATGACCTGCGATTCATGTGCTCAAATTCTCATCCTTGCATTCTTATATTAATCACTTGGTTTTTGCTAAAAATTTGTTCCATCAGCTGGTGTTTGCAAAGCCAGCGACTTTTATTTTTGTTGATATAGATGTTGAAAAACCCAGACTTGATTTTGATATTTGGTTCAGGGAAGGGATCTTGTTCTATGAAATTGGTTATTTTACCTAACATTCATTCTAAGGCCTTGAAAGGAAGAAGCTAAGCAATGATATTCTATTAGAACCTTTCAGAATCCCATTTGTTTAAAGTAATAAGACTTCAATCAAAATTAAAGCACCTTACAACTAGGAATATCGACAAACATGAGAAGAAGAAGTACAATTCATGTTGGGATACTTTTTGAGATCCCAGGTCCTAATATGCAAAGCATTCTTTTATAAGTTTCAACTCAAGAAAACATTATCCTTATCTATCCTAGTTTGAATACCCAATTTGAAAACAAGATCCATACCTATACGTTCTTTTGAAACCTATATAAAACATGCAGAAAGATAATTATCAATGTCATAATATTAATCTATTTAGGTTACAGGAACAATGGCTAAGAAACAATTTCAGTCTTTTGTGGTAGGCCACTTTCCTCTGTTAAATGATGGGGGATATGGTGATACATTGACAAATGCTTGTATACTTATTCATGATTATTAATGCCTTTAAGGCCGCAAGTTACAAATTTATCTTTTACAAATCAGCATTTTGATGTTACAGGAGATATGCTCATTCTGTCCTATCAGATGATTTTGTTTTGCTTAGAAGTACTGAATTTAAAGGTTGGTTTTGGTGCATGCAGTGCTGAGCAGGAAGGAATAAAAGTTAATCCCATTGAATTGAGTCAATTTCTTGATTTTATCAAACAAAATAAACTCCGGACTCACAGCTTCATTATTGGGCCAAACCAATGTAAGTTGTGCTACTGCTATAGATGTTTATCTTAATATTCGTGAAATGAATTAGAAAAGAAAAATCCTAAGTAGCCTTCCAAGAGGCTCTGCTTTAAGGTTTTCGTAGTTAATCTCTTTCACATGGTCCTCAACATTCTGCATCTTTTTCTCCTCTTTCTCTGTTTTTAAACTTTCAATATGTTTTATTAGTTTCCAATATATTAAGGATAAAAATATTGGCTTGAGATGGTTGGGAGAGTGCTTTCTCGGATGTTTTCTTTAGAATGGAATGCTAACTGGCTATGTTGTACACTATTGTATGCATTTAAAATAGGGGTGCTAATTTGGATGGTCAGTTATGATGTGGCTTGCTGGATACAAAGGATAGAAATTGGATTTCTTTTTAACTAACCAGACTCTTTAGTTTTGTTTGATTATATTTTATACTTGAAATTACAAAAAGACAATCAAAAATATTTTTGAAGTATTTCTCATTGCAGAATTTAGTTGTTTAGTTTTGAAGTGTACTTAAAATATTAGCTACTAGATTTCTAGTGTACTAACATGATTATTTAATAATAAATCTGCCTAGCAAATGCAACATATGTTTCGTCATCTTTTCTAATTCAATGGTTCTTTTATTGCATTTGAAAAATGGACGATGGATTTTTCATGACAGATTTGGTTACCTCAATTCATGAGAATTGGTTTTGTGCAAGATGCATGAACGCATTAAATCCTGCTGGTGAAGGTGCTATCGTTATTCAGACCAAAGCATTCCTTTTAGTTGCTTTGTAAGAGAGCTTTAGATTCAATTCAACATATTCATATTTCTCTTTCAGTGTAATTGGAATGAAAGACCAAAGGCTTGAGGATAATGCTTTTTTGTATTACTTTGTGACAGGTATGATGGCTCAATTGGCTCGGCATCTCGTGCTATGTTGTCTGTTGATCAACTTGTATGGCAACTGGGTCGAAGAAATCTTTAACCTCATTTTCCACAATGGTACAATTAAAAGCATTTACCTTTTTATCTACTTCAAAGTGTGTAGATTTTTTTTTTTTATAATTGTTGTAATATTGCTTTCTTCTTTTCTTTGTGTTGTTTTATCATTATCACTATTAGCAGTGGGCTCACCATGGGGCATTCCGTTTGGGTGAAGCTAAATTACATTAGCAGCGTAAAGTTCCTAGAGTAAATTCCCCTCTGACTTAATACTAGGTTCGCCTTGTAGGATTATTAAATCACTTAATGCAGGTGTTATGTGCCACAGGTTGAGTAATCATTTCAGAGCAAGTCATTTCTTGAGCTTGCTGGTGTTCATGTATACTAAATGTCTTGGGATTCTAAAGTGACTCAAGCTCTGTAAAACAAAAATTTGAAGGTGATTAATTTGATCATGATTGAAAATGGCAACTTCATCTATTTCCACGTATAACAAGTTCTAGAACTCAAAAACCCTAGGGGACCCTAGGGGTTTATCCTGCATTTTTTATATCCAATATCTCATAACCTTCTTCATTGTTGTGCTGGGGTAGATATTTTTATTATCTTAATGAGGCAGTGGTGATTATCACAATGCAAACAACAATTACTGTTAAAAAAATGAAGTTTGGTGGTCAAGTGTTTTTGGTTTATTGTCACCTTACTGTGAGTTGACTAATAATTTTGAACTTGCTTGCTTCCCTAACAAGTTTCATTGTCACCAGGTTTCCTTGGAACCAGAATTCTTTTCTGTAGCAAGAAATACGTGAAAGATCTGCTCGAAACGTGACCAAATAATGAATTTAGCAACATTTGGGAGGCTTTCCTGTGCATATTTTGAGCTGCAAGTGAGATGATTTTGTTTGAGAATCATAGATATTAATTGGATGTTGTTTTGGTAGACATGATGTGCGTATAGTGCTTGTAAATCAAATTGGAATACTATTTTAACATTGACTTTCACCTTTTACTGAAATGGTGATGAGTAGCTGATTCCTGAAATACATGATATGTGTAAGTGTAACATCCTGGAATTTTATTCAGAAAGAGCAAATATTTTGTAGCAATTAAGAAATCAATTTTTGGAATAATCATCTTATTGTGATGCCGGAACAAGCAGCTTAAGGGGCAGTAAGATGCCATAATCTTGCAGAAATAATAAACTCAATCTGCAGTGACATAAGTTTAACAATATTTTCACTTAAAAATTTTGATTTAATAAATAATAATTGTATGAACTTTCATGAAATTAGGAAAAAAAACTAAGTTGATTTATTATTATTTAATTAGCCATTTTATTATTTCATTCCTTTCAAAAAAATAATAATTTAAATGAACATATTACTAGATTGCCTAAAAGTTAAAATAGGCAACTAGAAGGGCGAATTTATAGGATTAGTGAGAAGTCCGCTTAAAGCTTGTTTTTATAATTAAATCCTGTTGATTGTTGAAACAGGAAATTTGAGGTTGACTTTATTATTACGCCACGTGAAGTTAAGTCCTATTGAAATGAATAAATTGATAGGACTTACCTCAGATATAATATCTTTGACAATCTTTGCAGTTTCTAAATTTTCTTCATTTCACATCAAAGGAAACACTTTTGAGTGCTGCGATTACGTGAAGGAGAAGAAACAAAGCAAAAGAATGGGAGGAGCTAGGTTTCGAAGTGGAGACGATCAACAACATTTTCTTCCCAGAAGGGTTAAAAGAGTACCATCGCCATGGGGTTGCGATCATCCTATGTCAAGAACCTCACTTGCTTGGAGATCTTTGATGAAACTAGCGACCGAAAGCAGAAGTCGATAGAAGCGAAGGGCTGGGCTGGTTAGAATTAGAACCTAATGTTAAGATGAGAAGATCAACGAACTTTTCAAGAATGTGGGTAGAAGGAAGAAAAAGATTGAGAAAACTGTAGATGTAAAAATCTACCTGTACGGAAGGGGTGTCTGATCCCGTGAGGTTGAGGCCACTAGCAATCCGCTGTACCTGCGCACGTAGAGAAACAAACGCGTGAAGCGAACGGAAAACACCGGGGTGGTGTTTGCCGTAGGCACTCCGACGCTCAAGTTAGCAAGGCTGAAAGAAGCTTAGTATAGTGAGGGCTAGGGAGTAAAGAGGTTACCGGAAGTCTAGTCGGGGACTGTGACTACGACGGTGATGTGAAGCTCTCAAGTAGGAGCTTCGGGTGTGAAGGTGTAATGTAATATGTCCTTTGTGAGAGGGCTGACCTCTGTTTATATAGCGACTATCTGGTCTCCCAATCCTGGTGGGAGTAGGAGTCCTAGTGTGACTCTGATGCAAACCCTAGAAAAGTTAAGGCGGTGGTGAGCTGTCTTACCTGCATTCGAATAGGAAGATGATCCGAACAGGAAAACCACTTCGAATAGGAGATTGATCAGGAACAGGAAAGTGATCAGTGGGGGCCGTGGGCTTTGAACTCCCCTATAGGCCCAGGAAGTGAACTGGAACTGGGAGGCCCATGCCCAGATGGTTTGGGCAGGCCGTATCTCGTATCGAATGGGACTAATCTGGCTTGGGCCTCTTTGGGATTGGGCCTGGTCTCTTCTTCACTAGTGGTACTGTTTTCCTATTTGGGCCAAGGACAATTTTTGGCCCTAACAGTTTGTCCCTCACTCTCTGAGTTAAGAGTTTCTTAAGTCAGAGAGTAGGTAGTGATCGAGGAGTGCTCGGTCTTCCTTCTTGGACGATCGACCATCGGTGTAGCGGAATAGTCTGATGTAGATAACTTCTTTCGTCAAGAGTCACTCGGTATGCCCTGTTGGTGTAAAGGGCCGAAGGGGCATATAGTAGCGTTTCCATGGATCATGTGCTCGTTCGGTAAATTCTGCCGACCTGAGGGGCGAGATATCGATCTATAGCTGGGGTGTTTGCTCGTTAAGCCGGGTCAAATGAGTTAGGAAGTTTATTAAACTAAAAACTCCGCTCGGTCGGGATACGCAGACGATCAAGTGGACGAGATACATGGACCTCGACCAAAGATTGTCCACTAGTCCGCTACAGAAGGATGAACGGGCGAGGCCTCCTGCCTTGTTCTGAAGAGGGCTCGAACCAGGCCGTTCCAAGTTGATTTACCGGTTGTCCAAACCTTCCGAGCCGGCGAAGCATGGGACATTTAGAGTGCCTTCGGAAGTCAAGGGCTGAGTCGGTAGGGAGGATCGGGCGATAGAGTGGAAGGGATATGCGAGTTTTAACATTGGTTGCCCACTCGTCTGCTACGGAAGAACGAATGGGCGAGGCCCCTGCTTTGTTCATAGAGAGAGAGCTCGAGCCGAGCCGTTCCAAGCTGATCGACCAGGCGGGAGGGCCTCCTGAGCTTGTGAATCGTGGGGGCATGTTGGTGAAAGATGGATACATGAAGAATCAAGCATATCATGCTATAACAAGTATAGTCATAGTTTAAAAAAAAAATTCAATCAAATTGAAATAAGTAAGGTAGAACATGTTACCTTAAGTCCTTAGCAACCTTGGAGACTCTTAATTTCAAGAGAAACTAAGCAAAAGAGTATCCACACCAAGGGAAGAAGAGATTTGACCAAGAGGAAAATTTAGGGTTCTTAGAGATTTTTCTCTACACAAAAAATTCATATATCATTTTTCTTATATAGGAATCCTTGTAAACAATTTATAATTTTTGGACTTCCTTAAACAATTCCATAATTGTTATGAAGTTGTTAAACTTCTTTAAATTATAACATTGGATTAACATTAATCACAATTAACAATTAACTTTAAATGTTTACATAACAATTTAACCCTTAAATTGTTACAATTACAACCCCTTGTAAAATCCAATTTAATATAAAGAAAATGATTAATATAAATAACTTATTACCTTTGGTAGTGCTAGCCAACCTTGGATAATCAACTCTCTTTGGCTATTTCTTCATTCTCCTTAGTTTTTATGTGTGACCTCTTAGGTTCTGTGGCCTAGCCGTGGGCCCAATTCACAGACTATTTCGATATGTTTTGTCATAACTCTTTTAGACAAAAACTCCCACTGATTATGGTAGGCCTAGCAATGCTCCATAACCCTAAGTCACAATGAAGATATACTCCAACGAACCTTTTACAATCATACATGTTGTATAATCAAATCCTTCCGTTGTCTAATCCCAATTAAGAATGGATTCATGGTATGTCAAAATCCTTATCTTAATTTTAATTCAATACATATGGAACGTGTCACCATGAAAAAACCTTTCATGTAACATTTTATATACCCCGGCCGGAGATTTCCCTTTTCCAATGTATCTGACATTTGTCTAGGAACGAATCAATCTATATCAGTCAACGGATCCCATCTTGACTATCACTTGTCCTCACACAAAAAAACACATGGCCAAATCGGCTTATACACATGGCATGATTAGCCTCATGTTTATACACCATATGAACCATATGCGTTTATGCAGAATCCAACCGTGATATCTCAGGTTTAGGATTAAAAATACCCTAGTATGATCTTGATAATCATTGACTACATTTAAATGTCCATGTGATTCATCATAAATGGCCATATTCAATAAACAGTTCACTAACCGCGTATCCATGCTAATGCCCTAGTGATATAACTTTTATAATCACCCACACCAATACCATCACATGATATTCTACGGAGGCATTCAGCATGCCTACTATGTAATATTATTGCCCAATTAATATTACCTATGTAGGGAATACTTTGATGATTTTGATCTTCTAAAGATTTGTATCATCCGGACATTTCACATGTAATACATATATATAAATGAAGCAATAAACCACATGTGAAATAAGAACACTTTCTTCTATTGATAAGATAAAATGTATATACAAACTATATACATTCACATATATATACAAAACTTAATGCCTTGGAACCGACGACACGATTGGTTCCTAGGGCATACACTAACAGTTGGGTCCACTGTCGGGCACGTGGTCACTCGGTCAGGAGGTCAGGGCGGTCGATCCAGGCTTCCGTATGTTGCTGCAGTTTCCCAGGTGCCACGGATGCTTGCCACGTGTTCGGCGGAGATTGAATCCTTATTTTCGAGGCGGGAAAATGAAAAGATGTTCTAACTCGTGGCCAATCGCGGGGCGCCACGTGTCTTCGCCTGTTAGTTTTCCCTTTTAAAAACGAATTGGTGGACTGTTCATCTTCCAGTTCGCATTTTTCTCCCCTTTTCTCTTCAAAAAATTTTCTTTTCTCTCCGTTTCTTCAACTTCGTCCCAATTTCTCTTTAACGACGTTGGATTGTTTTGGTAAACGGCGGCTTT